GTGTGAAGGGCGAACAAGTCGCAGGTTCTGCAGTGCAGGGTGTCTGCTGGAAGATAAAACATTGGGCTATTAAAAGTGAATTCCTTCCTGCTTCTTTTGGTGTGGTGCTAGTCTGGTTGGAGCGAGTCCTTGATAGAAATTGTTTGGTGCAAGTTGCCAATCTATTTGCGTAGCACTTAGTGTGTATGGGATTGATGGGGACAGTTTGCGTTCAGGCTCAGCAGAGCCCCACCAATCTGCCAACATCTCCACAGCTGCCAGTTGTAGGTCATCTACATAGGGCCAAGCTCCCAAGGTTTGGCTCCTTCCAAGCTGCCAGTTCTCCCAGTCCAAGGTCGATGACATTGCGTTTCACAATGTCTCACACAAACTTCATGTGAGCCAAGACCGCTTGCGGCGATGACAACAAGTTGCAATGACCACTTGGATTGCAACCGTACTGCGTTCTGCCGATGCATGCCAGCGGCAATGGGACTGCAAGCAGCGGAGGAAATCAAAGCCAAATTGAAGTCCATTCTCAAAGATCTGATAGAGATAGGAAGAGTCTTGTGAGTTGCGCGTTGTATAACTGTATGTTATTTTTTGTTACGAAAGCCAGCCTTCGTAGAAGGCGCCAGCTGAGTTGTGTTTGGCGAACGAAGTGAGTAAGTAGGGGGTCTGGGGGGGGCTGGCCCGAGAACCCCCTACGAAAACTCGAAATTAGGTGGTGTTTAGGGGTGCGCGGAAGCAAGGTTTTGGAGGTTGTTTTGGAGGTGAATTTTTGTGATTTTTGAGCGTGTGGTGGTGATGTAAGAAAACAATTTTTTGCACTTGCATTATCTGCATGGTAAGGTGTAGTTTTACCGAGGCCGATGTGTTGTAGCTTCGTACAGCTGTGAATACATAACCTCTTACACACCTATTAAGTTCAAAGCACTAGTCACTAATGAGACCTCAAAGCTGTGGATTGCTGCGCGTTTCTCCAGGTTATCTGCGGCTTAGGGAAAGGGAAATTGAAGTGCTATACCTGGCAACATGCTGTCTTTGGCCAACCACGTGTTCGTTGACAAAAACGCTGGCTAATTTTGCCGCTTCTCAGGTTATGTTATACTTTCAGGAACTACTTCTAGTGAATGACTTGATGATTGGCACATGTAGGTTAAGTAAAAAGAATCACACTCGTAGTATAGTATATGCCATACACGGAATGTTTGGGAATAGTATTTCCAACAGTATGCAGCGTCAATCCGTCCATATCGGTCCGACTCTTCTGCCACCCCCGTTAAGTCCCACAACATCCGCGAGTCGAGTCCAGCGCATGCACGGCATGCACATATTTTGTCCAGGTTTGGCGGCTTGAGAGGGCCTCCCAGGTGTACAAATTGACGAAGTCCAGTGAACAGGAACTTTGAAGTGACCAGTCAACAACTTTCCTGAAGATGAAGATCACACAGCATATGCGGATAGGTCGGATCGGCTCAATGATTTCCAAACCGCTCCGTTAGAGGTCCCCAAATGGATGGATACGGTTTCCGAAAAAATTCAGAGATGATTCATTGTTGTTTTCTTTAATGTGGTCACCATGGTGTCAATCTGTTGACGTCCGTGGGCAGAACACGGAAAACAACTGGAGGGTGCTCGAAAAAATCTTTCGGCGTTTGGACGGCTGTCCTGTGGAAATTGCAAAAGTAAACACCAGGGGTCATGTTGGAAGGCATGTCGTGCAGATGATTGCCAGCCTTTGCTCTTTGAAAGCAAAAGGACTCTCTAGCGTGCCAAAGTGCACCAGACGAGACGTGGTGCCTGGCTTTAACAAAATGGCATGCGGTTGATGCGATGCATTGGAGGACCATATTTATCAGGGCAAAGGCTGGGACGGAGTAGTCCTTTTGTGCGAATGCATGGATGAAGAGTAGATTGCACAATCCCCCAAATTTGGTGGTTTATGTGGACCCCATTTGAAGGACAATGTTGAGGTTTGTGCCATGGAACATTTGAAACCACTATGTTGATAGCAGCTTGAAGATGTTTGAAGAGAGGATCTGTCACAGAGCATCGGCCTAGATGTAGCTTATTAGAAGGAATCCTTTCGATGCAGAAAACCCAGCCTCCGGCATTCTGGAAAAAAAATCAAGTCTGGGGAAGACACGACCATTTTTGGTCCGTGACCATTTTGGATCCGCGCACATGTTTTTGTTGTTTTTGCACTCGTTCTTCAACCAACTGGCCGAGGCCCTGATGCGATGAAAGTGACGCATAAAGAATCATCGCTTCGAACCGTTAATCCTTTTTCATCGAGTCGTCCGTATGAACGAAGAACAGGATCGATCAATGGAGCACCCTAAAACCCTCCAATGGATGGCGACCGGAATGCAACCCTCCCAGTCGACTGGAAATATGTTCGTTCCTGGCCAACTGGCCGAGCTTAGCTACAAGTTCGTCCTTCGGGTCCAGCAAACAAAGAAAACACTCTTCTCTTGAGCAGCTGCGTAGCTGGCATGACTTCACCCCTGGACTTCACGATGAACTCTGATGTCCAGAGTACTTTTTGGCTTCTCAAGTTACTATTACTTGCAATTGAAATGTATTAATTTGGTTGGTTTAGATTTCGGGGGTCTAGAATGCAGTTTGGTTTCACTTCTGCACTGAGCTGAACGGGGCTCATGTGCAGTGCATGCGTGAAAACCTCGCAGAAAGCGGCTGAAACAGAGAGATTGAATGGCATCACGGTTGGTCTCAAAGGTCTACAGACATTCCAGGCCTAAGTCACCAAGCTTTTGGCAAGCCCAGCTGACAAACTCTATTGGTTTGATACCTCGAACAGCCAACAGAGCCAATGACTTGATGTATATAAAAGAAACATGCCCACTTGTTTGTTTTTTGTTTTTCTATGAATTGGTTTCTTTAGTCATAATGCCGCGGCATAGTGTTGCATGAAGAATGTGTTCCAACTCTTTTCTGTTGCAGTACATGCCTCTGAGAACAGTTGCACTGGAGCCCTCAGGGTTTGACACCATGTGCAGCTGAACACTCATGCTCAAGCGGTTTTCTGCACACAAATGCTGGATAGTTACAGACAGTTACAGACGTCAACTCCCGGACCGAATGCATTTGAGTCGCATAGATCTCACTTGATCTCACTATCCGGACCTGTCTGTGCAACTTTGCACGCTGTACTCATGTAATCTCAATTAATCTCATATACATCCAAATTTAACCCAAGAAAAGATGTCTTTGCCTTTTTAAGGACCAACATCAACACCCATCAATCAATTCCGCACTTTCAGGGTCCAGGCTCAACCAGGACAGGCCACAACTGACTAGGCACGGAGCATTGAGTGAAATCCTGAGCCCAACAAACACAGCTCCTCTGGCAATTTCGGACATTGATGAGATAGTGGAGGTAAGTGTCCAAACAGTTGCATTCAAGCGTGGAAGACTACGATCTGACGAACCTCCGCTTGCGCTAGATGATTTGCCAAAAGATGCTTCGCACATGATCTCAGTATGGCAACTGGAAAAGGCGACAAGGACCTGATTGCACCAAACCAATAAAGTTGTACTGTGGTGTAGAGTCTAAGAAAACTAGTTGTCCTAGTGGTCAGACAACGAGTTTCTTTTTGGGACCTGCTAAAAACATGTTTATCTTCGCAAGGCGATAGGGGCCTGATGTTGTGCGGTTCTCCAGGACATATTCAAGGCCTTTGAAGAGGAGACCGATGCCTTCTTTGATTCCTTAATGAATGAAGGCCGGCTTGATGTGTGTGACTCCAATCCAATGTAGTTGTAGATCTTCAAGGAAGAGCCTAAGGCATCCCAGGCATAAGACTAAGCAGATCTACGGTGGCATAGGAGTGACCGTTCAGAGGGTTCTTGCGAAAAGCAGTTCCCCTGACAGACCTAAAGGCACAAAAAGGTGGACACACATGACTGCGAATGAAATGCAAACGAGAAGAAGCAAGCCTTAAATCTCAGGGACACCGCTGTGCTCAGTCCGACCAAAAGATGTGCTCCATCGATTGCAAGAAATTCATCCTAAGTCCAGTGTTCAGCAGGAAACAACTTCGGAAACAACCTCCCAAGCGCCTATGAAACTCGATGGAGAACAAAGAAACTCCAACGCATGCACATCGTCCTTCCGCCAGGTCCAGCTCCCAAGGCTTCGGGTTATGCCTCGGACTCGCCCGTTCGGGGCGCCCGGCGGCCAGACGCCACGGAGCCAGATGTGGTGAAGCAAGAGGATGGTTTGACCAGATGTGAATTGGAAGAATTCGAGCAACGCAATGAGAAAAGCAACACAAGACATACCAGGACCTTCAGTGTGTTTTGTTGTTCGTGGTTTCAATGGATGTTATAATCAAATTTATTCGACATCCCTTAAGGCCCTGGCACGCAGATGTTTGATGGATTTTGGTTTGGAAGTGTGTTCTTCTTTGAGAAGTGTTTGAGGAAATTCAACTATTTCGGCAACCAAGGGCCAAGGGCCATTTGGGTACCAGCTAGGTTTGAGGATTCACATGGATTCACGGTGTGGGATTTAGTATACTATGTGACCTACGTAGATGGTGCTGGCGAAACGAACACCTTGGACATCGGCTTGGAATATCTATAGGGGATAACGAATTGATGGCATGAGGAGGGAGCCTATGATATGCCATCCTCTTGTGGTTTAAACCATCTCCATCTACTTGTGCCGAGCCAAAAATGCCATCCACTCGTTATCCCCTATAGATATAAGCCGAGCTTCGAACTATCTCCATTCACATGTGGAGACGAGGGGTTAACCACCGACGTCGACAGACCAGAGGCGCACGGACGGACGGCTCCGTGGTCGTGTCCCGATGGGACCCGGCCCCTGGGACCCGGCCCCGGCTACATTGAGGTCAGCCCTTCTCATTGTACGTAGCAGTTCAATGAGGTGAGACTCAGACACATGATTCGCGGTTTAGCATAGCAAATCCATGCAAAGCCTCGTCAACGGACCCTGGCACACACACACACACACACCAAACAGACTTTCCATGGAGCTGTGCAAGACCGAAGGTGCAAGATCCTCACATCTTTTGGGATTTGCCATCTCCAGGCGACCGGTCGCATACATTTGCCATGAGGTGCCGACACCTGCGAGTGCCGCGAGCGCCACGCTGCCGACACCTGAACCGACGCGACGTGTGCAGGTGCGAACACGGTATACTGGGATGTACTGGGCCAGTGTTTCTTGTTCATTTGACTTGCATGTACGTAGAATTATATACTGTATATACTCCGCCCGCAGTTTGTGACATCTACCCCTACTAGGCTACTAGGGGCGTATCCTAGTTGTGCCATCCTTGATCCGGGTTTATATAATCATATCAGACAGTGTTACAAAGACCCTGTCAAAGAGTCCGAAACGGTTGCTTGGGGCAGACTCCTTTTCTAGTGCTTTTCACTGCACCAGCGCTTCGTGACGGACATTTGACATGTGACCCCTACGCGACATCGGCGCTTGGCCGAGCACACTTGGGGGCGACGTCCGAAGTCGCGCCGGTCCCCCCACGAGGCACGTAGCAGGAGTCAATCAGCCGTGCCACAGGCAGTTTGTCGAATCACAGGCAGTGTGCCCCGATCTGACAGATCTGGAGAATAGAGACCCCTGACAGATCGTCTCATTCCAAGTCCCCAAAGACCTCAGATTCATCTCCCCCAAAGGACCAGAGCCGCCCGCCCTTGCAGGCGTCAATGGCTGAAGTTGCCATGGAGGCTGTTCTCCAATTGAGTGTTCACCAGGGTTGTATTTTTTGCCACGAGGGGCACATTGTCATGGTTTGCATGTCTGTGTTTTTTTTTCAATATCTCAGCATCTTCAGTTGGTGAGCAAACAGTCTGATCATCAACATCAGACGGACACCGGCAATGATCACCAAATCTGAGGTTCTTGACACAGAAAAAACCGTGGCCACTTTAGCGGCTCAGGGCACTGGGAGTGCCTTGAATGGTTGCTTAAATGTTGGGACCAAAGCAACTGGTAACGGTAAAGAAAAACAGTGGTTTGGGAGTTCTTGGTGTTCTTATGACACATGAAACGTGTAATTCTAAAGGCCACTCCACACAGGTAATGGGATTTGTCAGGGTGTGTTGTGCAGGAGAAGAATGAGTAGTGTCAACAAGAGCTACAACGAGTATGATGCGCATCCGTTGAAGCTTTCAGAAAAGAAATCATCAAATGGTAGGGAAACAGTAGGGACACAGGGCTCAGAAGATGCTTGCAGCACTATTGTGGACATCATATTATGTTCCTTCTCCACGATGATCCTTGATGAGCCATGTTATCCTGTTTGAACATATGACAACTTGTTTCATTGGAGAGTGTACCCCTGAGCAGAGGATGACTGATGCTTCCATCAACACCAGCGGGCACTGACAAGACTTACAGGATTTGCTACGATCGACGATCGCACCAAGAAGACAAGAAAGACCTTCAAAGAAGACAGACCAGCTCTCACAGTCTTCCGGTCCGTGTCTATGACGACTCACTCCAAGTACTTTTGGGGTTTGTAGTCCATGGAAGAAGTTGAGTCAAACCACACTTGTAGCATCTTGTAGCTTGTTTGCACTGGATAGTTGCACAGTAAGTTGCGCCCGGTGCTACCTCCTGATTGAATGCGCGGCGACGAGACAACGAGTAAGCTTTTGCACCTGCATCGAACTTTGACTTGACACTTCAAGTGTCCAACCAAACCTATGACAAACGCCATGCCTTGTGGAGAGTGGCCTTCAGGCCACTTTGCGCATGTCATGGGCTTTGTCAGGGTACGTTATACAGAACTTGCAGGCTGCATTTGAGGAGCCAAAAGGGTTCTCTTTCACGGCGAGGAGTGCGAACAACAAGAAGAGCGCCTGCAGATAAGATTTGCATAAACTTTTTTGTAGAGCTGCCACCTTTCACGTTTCTCGCACCAAAGACAAAGCCCTTAGTTTCCAATGACGACAGTACTAACCTGTGGGTGTTTCTTTCTGCATCTTTCTGCCTTGGCGTGTGTAAATCTCAATCCAACGAGATGAAGTCCAGAAGACCCGAGATGAATCTGTCAATGGGTCCAGTGTCACATCGAATCCTTCGCAGGGAGCAATCCATTTCGCAGTGTCACCCATGTTTCCGCCCGTTTGCCACCGTCGGTTACGGGAGCAATCCAGCCGCCGTGGCAGGAACCGGGCCAACCGCGCACCGAGCAGAGTGAGGTGAAAACGGACAGCGCCAGCGTGGCCACCGGGCAGCAGTTCGCGAGCGACCTTGGGGACGTCTGACGAGGAACCAGGAGGAACTTATAACCAAGGTTATAAACAGGTTAGGGATACTTATAACCTATAGGCTATAATAAGTCAAAGCTAGCCAATCACCGGGCAAGTATTCATATACTTTTGTTCTACGTTTTTGTTTTTTCTATGCTGTTTTGTCAATGTATACCATGAAACATTCTGATTGTAGACATTCTATTCTGCGGGAAAGTGAAGAAAGAACAAGATGGTGTTCAGATCAGCTGAACCAATTGATTTGGCTGTAATTGTTTGAAATCCAAAGCTTGACGACTTCCCAGTCCGCTGGGTTGATCGCACATGGATTGACACCTACGGACCGAGCTGGGCGACGCAGACACACCGTGTGAAGCACAGCGAGGTCACTGGGCGGACCATCCATGGATGGAATAGATTGAGGCTAGTATTGGGGTTGTCCTATGACCATGTTATATACCTGTAATCGTCGGTACACGATGATATATCACTATGTTTGAACAAGGCCTTCACTAGTTACTCATCATCATCCACGGTTACTTTCATTAGTAGGAGATGCCCAGGGGGGCACTAGTTCAGCACCAGTTCGCTTTGAGTTGCTTGCATTTACCCCAGGCCCAGCATGGCGGATGTGAGCAGTCACTGTCCGAGATTCTGCGCTTGTGGTGGGATGTTTGGGAGAAGGTTCAGAAGACCAAGAAGATCTAAGCACCGCATATAGAAAGACCTTATAAGAGGTAGTATGTTTTTGTGTAGACCAAGAACCACTCCAGGATCTAGCGTAGTCGACTGTGGCCGCCGGAATCTGCCGGATCGGATCTAGGCAGTCTATCGCATGGACAGTGACGGATCGGACGAGCTTCCCGCGGTGCCGGGCACAGAGGCGGAGGAGCCCGGGCCCGGAGGCAGACGCGGGAGCGGTGGAGTGTGAGACTGAAACGGAGTGGAGTAGATTTGACACTTAAGCACATCCATGTGGGGTAGATTTGATGGTACAATTGGGAAAGCTGTACACCATGGAAAAAGAACCGACACCATGGGGATGTGAATCCAAATTCTGTGTTGAAATATTCAGAACATCAAATTGGAAAAGCTACAATGCGATATGCCACCAAAGTAAGGATCATGTTTGTCATCCTGACCACTAATTTGAACTTCATGCGCCCCAACAAAGGGGCTGCCATCGACATTCTCGTCACTTCTCTCTCAGGAGCTGCAGATGGCACCTGCGCCTCCTGCAGATTTCTCCTCTGAGGATCGTGCCTTGCACGAGGCGTTGGAGGATTTCTATTGGCGCCGGAGGCGCTTTTCATCCGCCTCCAGCGTTTTGGTCGAAGGGTGATGAGAGGTGGAGGTGTCTTGGGAAAGCAGCTAGGGGTCAGATCTATTTTAGATTATTTCATGTTTGAAAAGAATGAGAAAGAATGAGCCCCGGGAAACTTAGTTTTTTAGGTTTGGTCAGGAGGTGAGGGTAGGTAGGATTGGGAAGTCGTTTGGGATCTTTGTTGAACATTTTTTTTACACGTTTTTAGAGATCTATTTGCTTGGAACCCATGTTGGTTTGTACAGAAAAATGACAGGTCAACAAAACACAGTGTATCATGTACGTGTCATTAGTTTTTAAATTTGAATTCGTAAGTGTGATGTTGAATCAAATTCATCTTCAGGCCAAAACCAAGGACCTTTTGATGCTTGCGCACCAGGACACTGCAGAGGCTCCCTGCAGGACGTCGGACTGCACACGTCGGACCGAATGGACGGATCACCTCCGGAGACGCTTCGACGGCATTCGGTCAGGGCCACGAATCTGTCGAACATCAACGCCATTGTGGTGAAGTACCGCGGGGTGAACGTGTCGCATTTGTGGGCACAACTTGCCATCAAGCCGCCTGGCGATGAGAAGGCGACGAGAGAAGACGTGCGTCTCGACGCAGGCAGATGAAGGTGGCCGTTAAGGAAGGCGTATTTCTTCGTTCGTTCGGGACGTTGTGTCCGATCTGATGGATTTGAAGCATGGTTTTCCCGTGTGTAGTGTCAAACAGATGCATCCAAGAGTCTTGATTTTAGGGACCATGAAGGTATTAAAATAGTGTGTTTCATTATGTTTCATTACCTGTTTGACATTTGTTGGATAAACAATAATCAGCAACTCGTACGCAAATGGTTTGCTTTGCCACCCGCTTTCCCTTGGTGCTGTAAGTAACATCGCCCAAGGTACAACGTGCCGCCGGCAGAGGGCGTGGAGATGCTTGCACGAAGCCTTTATGGCAGCTCGCCCTACGAGTACAGCCAGAAGGAGCCAGTATATAGTGGGATGGAAGGGACATATTTCCAAGTACCAGGGAGGACGTAGCAGTATAGTATAGGAGGACCTAGCCTCCGAGTATACATACTCTTGCTGGGGACATACCTCCTTCAAGAATATGCCGCCAAGCACCTAGTCCCAGCAAGTCCGCACGAAGTCTTTGACCAGACAGGCTTTGGTGGGAGGGGAAGTAAGCTGGAAGAAGACCTGATGTTTGTGGAGCAAAAAGACTTGCTCCAGCCAATTAGACAAGAAGAATTGGACTGAGCTCCAGCCTTGAGGAATCACATTGCCACCCAGAGAGCGTCCAGAGAGTGTCCATGCACGGAGCGTCCGGAGTGCTTCCATTGAACATACAAGGGGAAAACCCCCGGAATGTGGGCCCAAAAACGCCGCCATGTTGCCAGCTGGTGACTTGTTTTCAAGCTGAGATTGCCTTCGTGAAACTGAGATCGCCTTTCTGTGTGCCCAGGGCGCCGGGAGCTACGGGTGCCCACCACCTGTGAAACCCCCAGGAGCTCCGGGTCCAACTGGAGGAGAAGTTCGCAGAGGCGCCTTGAGCGCCTTCGGCGGCTGTGGCGAGACTTGCCGCAGTTGCGGTTGTTTGGAAGTGGGAGTCGTAGGTCTTCCAAGAGGAAACTATGAGGAAACTGACTGACTCCAACCTTCCAAGTCCGTGCACAGCAAAACAATGCTTTGAATTTTCTAGAAATCTTTTAGGCGGATTGTACACATTCACCGTCACTCATATGACTATAGCTCGAAACTCGCAAGAGATCCAATATATGAATGAACAGATTGACACACAGGCAGATTCACCGCCTCAACCGCCAACCCCGGCTGCATGACACATCTGGAACTATATCTCATCCCATACAAATACCTGGGACCTCACATAGCGGCTATAGCGTCTTCCCACCCCTTTGGGTGGGTGGAAGGCACAGAAACCGACCCACGGTCGAGACCGACCCGCTGTACCGGTCGAGGTCCGCCGCGAGGTGCTCGCGGACGGCTTGACGCCCAGCAAGGCGCAGCTCTTGGACCGTGCGCTGCAGCGTGGCGCCCAGGACGGACGGAGGGGTTCAACCGGCGTGGATTCCAGGAAGAGTTCGGAGCAGAAAGCAGTTCAATTCAGTTGATTGTTTGGGTGAAGCTTGAAGGTCCGAAAGTTGGTTTCTTCATAGGGACAAAGTCAAAGCAGTACAGATGAATAGGAGATCGAGAACATCACCTAAGAAACTCAGGGATCCTGTTTCCCAAAGCTGTTCGTGCTTAGGCTTACTAATTCCAGGCAAAGTCTTTTGAGCCCGCGGAACTGCCAAGCGAAGCTTTGTGTGGGAGAGAACACGGTGCATGGGTTTGCTTTCTGCAAGCAGATCCCAGCAACCTCCCAACAGCACCATTCAATGGGCGACCAGCAGTCCAGTTCCAAGAGAAGTGACCTGGAGATTGATCCATAGCCATGCCAGAGAGAATATTGAACTATTGAATGCCATGGATTCTACTTCAGAGATCCCAGACGGAACGATGGAACGGTGAATCACAATACGCGTTGACTATCTATCACTGTTCTATCTAATTATTGTTGGTTCACCTGTTCCTGACGGGCATCCCTCATTGAGTTGTTATGAAGTATATATATATAATGTATGTGGTCATGACTGATTATTGTAGTTATAATTTATAATAGTATATTTTAAACATGATTAAACATACATAAGCAGGATGAAAGTTCAAGGATTGAGTTAGTTGAGCATTAGTCCAGCTTGCTTCATTTCAGCCAGTGAGCTGCCCATGACAGGATGCCCATTCCTGACCACGTCTGAAGCATTTGTTCGACTTACATGATCTTACATGTTTTTTTGTTTCAGGAACTTGAGATCCGGATCTCAATTCCTGGAGATTCAAAATGTAACAAACGATCACAGACAAATCCAGGTGGCAAGCGCCCGACCCTCTGGCAAACCTCGACATCTACCCAACACGTCCTCGACTTTCAAGGTACCAGAGACCCTATGTTGTTTTGTTGTTATGGTCCTTCATGATTGCTCCGCGGTCAGCTGGGATGTATATTATGTATTATATCATGTATCATGTTGCCATTTGATGCGCAGGCGTCGAAACGACGTCTCTTCCTCGTGGTGGCAGGACGGCAGCGACGCCTTGCTCCGACTCTTGACCTTTCGAGGGCTTCCGGACGAGGACCAACAACTGAGGGCTCAAGTCTGGAAGGTGCCGTTGGACCAAAGGGCTCCAGTCGTTTGGGAAACTGCTCCTGATAGGACCTAAAGGTGGATCCACGGACCCTTCTGAGGTGTTTTGAACCGGATGAGCTTGGGGGATCTAACATGATCTGAACCGTTTCGATGGTCATTGGATCCGTAGGCCTCAGAAAACGACAGGTCAAGACTCAACACCTTGGCTTTTGTCGGTCATAAATGTGCTACCATACTCTAACAAGAACACTCTGAAGCGGTTAGTGGTTGGTCATTTGTGTTTAAGTGAAGATGCTCCTAGGAAACCCTTCTGAAAGAGCAACCTTTAAACACATGTTCATGATCTGAAAGCAACCACGCAGTGAGACGATCGGACTGCAAACGACCCACAAAACACAGGCGTTCCATGTTGGATGTGTTTTTGGGTCTAGGTGGTTCGAGTCTCGCGCAGGTCCTGCATCGATTGATCGAATTGGGATCTGCCAATTCCGGACAGGTGCTACTGGGATACCTGCCCATGAAGCGTCATGATGAGTGGAATGCCATCCAAGGTGCCTGTTGGGGGTTGTCCATGCTGTTCGTTTGAACGTGACGGAGCAGTAACGGACTCACCGAGGAACGGAACGGAACTGTTCGGGTGTTCATTTTGGTGGATCAGTGCAGAAGCAAATTGCAGAGATAAATATTGTATTAATTATTCAATGTGAGCCTCGAGGGCCCGTCGATTAGATTTCCGGACATCTCGCCACCATTTCTTCTTTGTGTTCTTTCTTTGTAGGTCATGGCGCTAGTGAATCCTAGCATGTAGCTCCAGTGGCATGGCCCTAGGCTCTATCGGTTTTGACCTGTTTGAACGTTTCATCAATCATCCTTTTCCATTTCTGGAGGCATCCAATGCATCCAAGCTTGCCATAGCCTGCCAGGCGAAAAGAGGGCGATGTACATGAGCTACCGCAGTGAGTTGCTGTCCACTAGCGCCACGCAGCAAGTTTCGGTGAGCCGACGTCCCCATAGCCCAGGCGAGGGGGCGGATGGGGTCAAGGGGAGGGTTTTTGTTGAAAGACCTGGAGTTGGGGTGGTGGGTTGAGGAAAGTCAGGAATGTAGACATATAAAGTAGACTCTTGATCGTTAAAACCCCTCACTTGGATTGTAGAGCCTAGATATGTGTGGTGTTCTTGATCACTTTGCAAGTGGTTTTCCGGAAACGGACCGTTTTCCAGAAGTTTGAGCACCGGTCATTTGGTCGTCCGTTCAGGTGGTGAGATTGAAGATGAGGAGCTTCTCCAAGAGATCAAGAACGAGTCTTGGTCCCACCTGAGCCACGCCATAAACCTCTCTTTACATTTTTGTTAAGAGCTTGGTCATAAGGAGGGTTGGCGTAAGCAAAAGTCTGCTGCGCGTAAGGTTGCGTAAGTTTTTTTTATTTTTTCAACATAACAAGTTGCGTAAGGTTTTTTTGCTGTTCTTTTTTGTTCTTAGAGATACCTCTTTCCGAAGCCGTGCCGTGTCGACGGTGACTTCACGACTACAGGCAAGTGTTGAAGTAGATTGGTTGTAAGGACTTTTAAGTTCAAACCACCCCCAGACAATGGAGTGTTTTTTGGCGTATGGTCCGCGTAAGCACCGCGTAAAGACAACTTCGATTTCTAATCAGTTGCCGTCAGTTGCCCACTCATGGCACCAAAACAGCGTCCTTTTTCACAACTGCAAGTGAAGCAGCGCAGCTGAGTCCTCAGCGTAAGACTTTCCATACGACCTTTCAATCCATCAAGGTTTCCAGCACAGCTCACCTGGCTGTGGGTCGCACGGAGCCCGTTTTCACCTTGGTAGGTTGACCTCGCTACTAGTCTATTCTGTTCATTTTCAGTGGCCTACCAGGGTCCCCAGGATTTGACCCACATCCACCTGGGTTGACAAGAGTTGAAACTTCTCCTGTGAGGGGCGTGAGGGGCAGGCGCAATGACTGGCGGCACTGGCGGGACGATTCTTTGATATTCTTTGGGTGGAGGGCTGCTCGATGCAGGTAGTTTTACCCAAAACCCTCGTCATCACTGAGAACTCCTTTGACATCCTGGTATTGTGAGACAAAGCCATGGATTGGGGGGGTTTGCTCGTGCCAGCTACTGAGAATTATACCTGAATGTAAATGTACACACACGACCAAACCAAATTGAAACAGCTAAATGTGACAACGTGGTCTCCCACAAGCTCTTGCCCTAGTCTCTTCCCTTGATTCCCTCAAAACCGCGGTCCCTCACTCACCCCCCAAAAATTGGCATCAAAAAGCCACGGTCCCGCGGTCCTCCTGTGGTCCTCTCCTCGTCCTTGCGCAGAGCGAACGGCTGAGGACGTCGAACGGACGCGTCGAGACTTGGAGTACTTCCGGCGGCCGGAGACGAAAGCCGCGCTGACCGCGCTGCTCTTCGTGTATGCGAAGCTCAATCCTGGGGTGCGCTATGTCCAAGGCAATGAGACGCCCAAAGGACGCCCTAAGATGCTTCAGAGACCAATTAAGTTTATTACTGTCTTTTTTTATTACGGGGGGACTAGAGTCTTGTCATCAAACTTCCAGAAACATGAAACTCATTGGAAATATATGGACATATATTGCAAGTGTTTGCAAGCTCGGCGGGGTCAAGCCTCAAAAGCCTTGATTCATACCTTTAGCCTCTTTCAGTAGGCGCCTAGGAGATTGACAAGTCACTCCCGCGGTGTTCACGCACGTCACGTGGCCCAAGGGTTCTGGGCTCCATTGCTCCCAGCACTGCCCAGCACTGCATGATTGCACAGTGTTTTTTGTTCTAAGTATCCATTGGGTCGAAAGATTGGCAAGCTTTTGTTCAGTGCAGGCATGAACGAGATCGCAGCGATCCTTCTCTACGTCATGTCAGTGAATGCAGAGAGTGCAGAAAGCGACGCATTCTGGTGTTTCAGTGAGATGATGGTGGAGCCTTGGCCATGTTCAGGCCTAATTGAATCCACTTCGATTTAGTTCCATTCAGTTCAAGATCAGGCAACCGGATCAACCAGATTCAGAAACAATTGAGCCAAATTCATGAACTTCAATGTTCACCCTCAAATATTGCTGCCTTTGGCCGCTCACATGCCCCGAACCACTCCAAAGGTCACGCCAACCGCCAACTTCGATCGCCGCACCGCATGCCAAACGTCTGACGAACTTCGGGTCGAGTCGATCGAGGAAATCAAGGAAGGCTTCATGCAAGCGATGGACCATAGTGGCGAAGGCCGGAGGTAAAAACAAAAACGTGAAGGCTTCATGACTCATGACCCATTGAACCCATGTTCAACCGAGCAGACCAGCAGTTTCAAAGGAAACTCATGTTGATTTTGATGAGTTTACACTCGTTGATTGACACTCAAGCCATAGAAACCCATGTTGCATCATGTTACACAAACACGCTCCAGGGTTGCTATGTTGGAAAAGGGATGAAAAGGGTAGGGACACCCTTCCAGTCAACCCAAGCATAAATATCGCCGTGTATCACTATGTGGGGCGACTTGCAGGCCTTTCCATTCTTCCGTGGGGGCGGAGCCGGGCCTAAGAATCAGACAATATCCTCAGGATCTACACTGATGTGGAGGATTGGTGGATTGGTTGCTGCACATTGAAGTAGAGAGAGAGTTTGGGCGTTCACCAGAGAGTGGGGGATAGAAAACAGTCAGGGGATAGAAAAAGCGGGCGAGAGACAAGATAAGAAAGAACATGATCAACGTTTGCAATGTTGAGAATGCTTTAGAGAGGCTATTGAGTTGAGTATTCTCAAGATCACAGACGGATATGTGCCACAACATTTACTCATATAGTGCAGTCATTCTCTCTCCATTCTATCTATATGTATCAGGCCAAGGTGGACCCAAAGACCCCACGTGATGCTCCAAATCTTGGGGTTGATGATGGTTGATGGCACCTTTTTCAGGGCTTCAAAGACTCTCGAAGCGACCAGGGTGTGGGGGATCACAGATAGGGATACTGTAGGTCCTGTGTGAGAACGACTTGTAGGTCCGGATGAGAAGAGCATTCACCATTCGGCATTCACTTCGGCAAGCCTGCCTCCTACTCCAACTACCCACAACCCATCATATGTGAGAACGAGGAGTCTATGGGATGGTCGATGAGATTTCAAGGCTGCTACGCAGTTGGCCCCTCAGTCGAGATCTTCGTGGCATTGTCGAATTGTGGAGAGTGAGGCAGCTTCAACGGTTCGAACTGCACGAACTGCTTGTTGGGAAAAGAAATGGGAACTATTTTCTTTCCCCATGTCTTGGGTTCATTGCACTCTTCTCTCCAAACTCCAAGCGACTCGAGTCGCCGTGAACAGATCCCAACTCCGCTTTGCTCCGGCACAGAGCCGACGCTCCTCGTTCATCCACTGAGGCTACGACCCATTGCTCGCCAGGTGCGGTGCGGCAGAAGCTCAGCCGCTTCTTACCCTCGCCGGGTGGGACCAGGTCGTTAGGTGGGTGACCATATGATAAATTATAGTTCTTCCATGGACATCATATGCCCTGGTCTTCTTCCATGCAAATACATCTTGGATAATCTTTTGTTTGTCAGCATCTTTCATCTGTGCCAGGGCCATGTTGGTGGAATTGTCAACATGCCCCATGATCCCAACAGCATCAGAGACACATGATCCCAGCACCGAAGCCACGAAATGCTCCAGGCATTTGCACAAGGCAGAGCTGTCCCTCTTCGTCTTCGTCCTGCGATGGTGTACAGCAGCTGGGCAACAACTGTGGTCGGTCAGAACATCAAACTGTGCCTACCCTCCATCCCAGCAAGCGTTGCTGCGGACTACTGTATATAGTTGGACACAGTTGGGCTATATACGATTATGATATGATATAAATGAGATATGCATTGTAATACTGCTTGGCGGAAGCTGATGCGGGGGTAGTGAGCCTTTTCATTAGAATAATCAACCAGCCTCGTGTTGGAACTTTTGGTGTTCGATGTTGGGCTGGGCTCAATCCTTCTGTGGGCGGGTACGTGCATGCACTTGGTTCTTTACCAACTATGGACAACCAACTAGCAAGGGCGAGAGAAGGGTTGTTTTTCCCACCCTGTCAGGTGAGGGCTGTTTAATCTTAATGTTAGCTACTTCGCGTCCTCTCCTCCTCCCGCTCGTCGCCTCCTCAACCGCAAGTGTAGGACGGCAGTGTTCCCCGCTGGACCTCAACCACTAGCTCCGGACGGCAGTGTTCCCCGCCGGACCTCAACCGCCAGATATGCCAGATAGAACGGCAGAAAGAATGTCAGAAGATATGCAGAAGATATATGAAGATATACTGTACCAGATAGAATGTCTGACAGAATGTCAGAAGATATGCCTGAAAGAATGTCAGAAAGAGCATCAAAAGATATGCCTGAACGATTTTCAGAAAGAATGTCAGAAGATATGCCAGACATAATGTCAGAAAGACTGTCAAATTTTATGCCAGAAAGAATGTCACAAAAAACTAAACCGCCAGCTCCGGACGGCAGTGGTCCCCGCCGGACCTCAACCACCAGTTCCGGAGGGCGTTCCCCGCAGGACCTCAGCCGCCAGATATTCCAGATAGAACGCCAAAAAGAATATCAGAAGATAGAATGTCAGAAGATATGCCAGGAAGAAAGTCAGAAAGAATATCAGAAGATATGCAAGAAAGAATGTCAGAGCGAATGTCAGAAGAGATGCCAGATTGAAATGTCATGGTGAGGATCACTTCAAGTCAGTGAATTTGACTGAACCAGTGTAACCAGTGAGTAGAGAAGTTGCCTACAAACAAAACATTTCTTGATCTTGTTGCGGGGGTTCAATTTCAGTGAAGATGTCAAATTCGCTGCACTGCTCAGGTTCTTTTTGCGCAGGAGCTGAAAGCAGCGGGCTGGGATGTGAAACGCTAATTGGACGAGCGCCCTTTGAGGTACGCAAGCTGAATGAGATGTTTAGAACTATGTTCATGTGATTGTTTAATTGACATATTTCTCAGATGGTTGATTATTAATTTGTTTACACTATATTAGACTGACATACTGCAAGAACACAGACATTTCTTCAGCTATTATTTGACTCGAAGATGTTGTCAGAGGTGCGAGACAAGTCACAGACTGCTCGGGGGAAGTTGTTTGAATCGGTCCGATTTATGCTCTCTTCCTGTTGAGACCGTCAGCACGTGTCAGTACATGTCAATACACATCTTCCCAGAAAAAATAATTGCCCCTGTCATGTCAGAAGCCTAGAAGATTAGCAGGTGGGGAGGAGGCAAGGTATCCTTTCAAATACCTTGGGAGGAGCTGCGTCTCCTTTGTTTTCATTTTTTGTTTTGTCAGGACGCGACTTTGCCCGATGTTCTTCGCTTGTGGGATTCCTTCATTGCGGACCCCAACAGATATGCGTCGGTGTCTTAGAGCAGGACCGAGTCCAGCTGTCACGAGACCGGACATAGCGACCTTGCTCAGCTTCCCGACTTCCCGTCGCCGGCAACAAAAATGATGACTTTTGGCAGAATCAGGCCTTGATCACAAGTCAGAATCATTGGGTATGCCGGTATACCCGACGTATTCCTGATAGAAACAATAAAGTGAATCCTCGAAATGTAGAGAAGTCCTGATCCTATCTATCTCAAACCAACTGGGGTACCAAAGAGTTGCAGTTGCACTTGGTACTTTTGCCGCTTGATCAAATGACTGAGATCCCACATGAATCCTCAACTCAAACCCCCTTTGCAATGTAGGCTTTGAAGCAGGATATTCTCAGATTCCCAGAACTTGAACATACAGACATAATGCATGTCCTCGAATGATTAGATGATTAGTTAATATATTCTATAGGTGAACATATTGAGAGTCCTGTCACAATCCTTTTGACCGCTCGACCACCCCAATAGGGCGGACAAGAACCCTCGCGACCTGAGCTCCACCTGTTTCTTGCGACCTCAGCTTTGTGGTCCACACCTGTGTGGCGGTGATCCTGGGCAAGCGCGAAGCACTGCTGGCCACCGACAAGCAGTTCTCCTTAGCCGAGGCGAATCGGGTCGATCATGTTGTTAACGGCAGTTCTCCTTGCGTACGGAATCACTTGTGTAGCCCCAAAGGAATTCATGTTGCATGATGGGCGATATACCTGGATCCTCCTTTCGGCGGAAAAAAGTGCCGGACCTCAATCCGGCAAATTTTTCCGCCGGATTCCGAAAAAAACGCCGGAGACCTGAAAAAACATCCGGATCCAAGATTCTGAAAAACAGAGATGATAAAAGGTTGGATCATACACAAGGAAATTGCCTTTGCGCCGCGAGTAGTTTTTCTGGAGCACACTCGAACCTTCCCGTTCCCATTGCCCTCGCCCATCTTCCGAATGGCCTAAGAGCAGAACCATCACAAAATATAAGCATTTTGTGCCCAAGCAAAGACTTCCAAGAAGAAACCAATGAGCATGTGGCAATGAACTCATCTTTCTCTGCAACCCTGTCTCTAAAGTGTTTGTTTACAAAGTGGGTGGGTTGCTCTCCATGATTCTTATGCTTCTCAATGTTTCTTTAAAGCTTGCCTCAGGACGGCCCCGCAATAAAGTAGCAGAACTCATGGTTCCTGTCAAAACTCTTCTCTGAAAAACTGTTCAAAGTCAAAGCCTGCAGAAGACTCAGTCCCAAAAAATACGTCGGAATTACGGGAAATTACGCCGGAGTTACGGGAAATTACGCCGGAATTACGGCAAATTACGCCGGAGTTACGACGTGCCATTTTTTTGACAACTCTCTGCAAAACATTGAGATTCTGAACAACACATGTTCCACAGCCCAAAACTTGTCCGGTGGGCTCTGCAAACCTGCGCAACTAAAACTATATCCCAGCGCCCCGACATCCTGAAACAATGGGAGTACATTTTTGCCTATGCTCTTTCAGCTTAGGTACGCCCACTTGGGTCTTTCAACAGGTGCATCGCACCGTACCGGCTTCATCCGATTTCATTTAGAAGATCACCTAAACGGATCTGATTGATCCAGTGTGAACCATGCTGAAACCGGTGGAATGAGAAAACAGCGGAACAGGCAAACGAGCACACTTTGCAAACAAAATCACTGCATCAGTAGTGGGTTTACCTTCAAAGAAATGCAAACCACAAAGAATGCAAAGCCTTGAGAATCCACATAACGTGACTTGGAAAAAGTGCCGGACCAAATCCAGAAAAACGCCGGAGTTGGAAGTCCGGCGCCGGACCCTGTAAAAGTGCCGGATTGAAGATCTAGGTATTCACTGAACTCCAGACTCCAGACAACGACAAAGAATCGGATTTCTGATCTAGGTGCCAGCGATTTTTCTAAAGCCTGACCTTGTGGCATGTAGATGCATGAGATGGCATTTTCGTCTCAAAACATCAGATCTGCACCCCCTCAAAAAAAACCGATCTCCTTTCCAGCTTCGGTGTGATCTGCCCAGTCCAGACCGGTCGACCGTGGTGTTTCCCCACGCTCGGTCGCTGTCGCTCAGATCATGCAAGCGGGTCCTCGCGGCACGGACTTCGACGAGCTCTTGAGACGGGCGCGGACGACTTCGGCGCGGCCGGTTGGGGCGCCGGTTTGGAGGAACTAGATGTCAAGGCCCCTCTTTTCGGTATGCGTCACGGTAGGTGTTTGGCAAATAGGGTCCTTCTCTACTGGTATTTGCAATTAAGTTGCAGAATGTACCATCTAGATGGTGCAGGATTTGCTCATGAACGGTTTTAACTACCCAACGACAGCAACAACATTAAATCTGAGGGTGAGGGTTCTACGGTCGTGCGTCAATTCCAAAACAATTCTCAAGCTAAGCGCATTCTTCTGGATGTTCAAAAGGGAACAGAGTGTCGCATAGGGACCGCAGAACTGCCAAGAATATGTTGAAGTGCTTGTTATGGGCAGTTTATTCTTATTTGAAGTAAGAACCCCATAGCTTATCGCATGCTAGCGCTATTTGTGGAAAACCATAGAAACAACAAAAACTCTCCTATGCTATATCCTATAAGTTCAACTGGGTATAGCACTTGACCCACAATGAGTCCCTGTACACCTGGCACATCCGAGAGCACCTCCACATCCGTTCCGGGTGCGCGCGACCGCGCGACCGGAGGCGAATGCCATTTGCGCCTTTGAGCGCCGTGGCGACCAGGAACCCATCTTCCCACCCAGGAGGTGCGCTTCCGGAGAGAGATGCAGCGAAGTTCGAGAAAGAAAGGATGTCTGGGAGAGTGGTTCAGAGAATCGTTTGGACATCCTCTATTTTGCGCCGTTCCATGCTTTTTTGATTTTTTTTGCTCTTTATAATTGTTTGTCACCCCAAACAACTTCACCCACGTGGGTTTAGACCCTTGAATTGAACTTCAGGGACAAATCTCAAATTCCGCTCTGAGAACGCATGTGGGTCATGAAGGTGTTTGGCATGGCAGTGGCAGTTAACCTTTTTGGACCACAAACATGGCTGTGGCTCAAAAAAGGACGGTGTTCGCTTGTTTTGCCTTGTTTTGCATCAGCACTTTGGCCCGAATGGACCACTTCGAGGCTCCAAGTGATGGACGACCTCAACGAATGGGTTTGGTGCATAGTCCGGGATTTGGGCGCTGAAACTGTTTTGGCACGTACCGTGAGGCTCTTTCAGAACCGGCGCATACGGTCATACGGTTCATTTGTCCGTTGTTTGGTGATTGAATCTATCAGGCTCTGAGTCCAGAGAGCCTCAGATTGGGCAACCCTCGAAGTCCTTTCATCCTTGGGCAAAAGCCTTTTCTGTAGCTTAGGCCCAGACGGCTGCTGAGAGAGCATCTGAGGCCAGAAGAACGGAAAGGGGGGTTCCCAGACGGGTCCGGTCGAGATGGTGGACTTGGTCCAAACAATTCTTGTTTATATACATTTGTTTTTTGGAGCTGGGGATATCCCTGGTTGTCTCTTGACTTCTGGGTTGATGGGTTTTGATGGGTCTTGTAAATGTGGTCAGGGGTCATTGCCAGGGAGGGTTCCCTGTTTGAGCTGCAATATAACTTAGCTCACTAAAATTGAACTCTAAGGCTGCGTCTAATCAGATGCGACAAGGGGGTTCTTCCATTTGTTGTTGATGTTTTTGTGGGCGTGGAGGTTGGAGGTTGGATGAGTTCGTCTGCCTGAGTCCAGATCCAGTAGGAGGTCCATGGAGGTCCCCTACTCTGGTCGCACCAATGCTGTTCTCATATCCTCCAGTCATATGGAGCTTCTGTGGCTTGTGCACCAGATCAATCAGGGTGGGCTTGAGGGAATAAAGATGATTGATTTTGTTGTTTCAAAAGCACGGCTTCGTGGAACCTCATCTATATAAATGAGCCATGTTTTTTTTTGGTCTTCGCTTTTGTGTTTTATGGTGCAACTCAACTCTTGCGTTTTTTTCTGTGCTGTGCTTTTGAACACTGTCTATGAACACAAAAACAAAACAGTCCAATTGCCAGAAATCAAATGAAAACAGGTCAGTCATTGATTTCCCCGTTTCGCCCGGTTTCCGCTGTGCTCCGAGGCGGCGGCGGTGGCCAGTGAGGTGGGTGCGGAAGTCTCCAAAAACTTCCAGGCGCAGAAGTGCGTGCGAAATGGTGGGGATTTAGTGGAATTTGGACCTGTTTGGGCCAAGTTCAGCGGGACAATTTGCGGTTCGACCAAGGGAGACCGGGAAAAGAAGAATCCGCCAATCCGCCATCTCTGTTAGGGGCATCAACCAAGGTGCAACAATGAAACCCCGAGGTTTAATCTGCCGATTCGGAGGCTTGGGACGACGAAACTGGTCAATTTGTTGAACTGGGCAGTAGTTTGGATTTGGAGGAGTTTGAGCGAGTCCAAAGTTCATTTGTGGGTTGTTTTTGAGAAAAGGGGCTGCCATGTGGCACTGGGGGCTGGCTGTAACTTCAACAACAACCACATACAGGTAATGGCTGTTATGGCCCGCGGATGCAGATCGGATTCGCTATCCTGACAAATATTGCAGCCACGAAAGATGGATGTGTATTATAAATGCACACGGGCACCCCAAGGGGAGGTCTCCCTCTTTTGAATTACTGTACACGCCCAAATCATCATTTGTTGTTGAACCTGAGTTAAGGGCGATTCCGGGCAGTGTACGGGTGTGCCAGGCAGTGCAAGTCATGTAGTATGTGTGTGGTGGTGGTTCATAGTTCATAGTTCATAATGTTTCATAAGAGCCTCACTGTTTAGTTGAGCACATCTCACAGAAGCAAGACAGAACCACACCCCGTCATGTCCACGGATCCCATCCATTCTGAAATGAAGGTGTCAACACGGCAATCACCGCGAGCCACTGCTCGAGCGGTGCAAAGACACACCGTTCGAGCGGCGCTCGCTTCAGGAGAAGATCGCGCCGGTGGTCCGGGAGCGCGCCGGGCAGGCCTCTGAGATCGTGCAGGACACAGATTCGGAGTGATTTGTAGCAGAGGCTGAGGTTAAAGGTGCGTCAGGGGTGTTTTGAGGGGAGAGCAGATGGCTCAATTTAACATGTTTGCTGCTTTGTGACCATTCCTGTTTTGGAATCTGGTATTTCCCCACTGTCCCGTCCCACCGCCTTCTCCTCTTCCTCCGCCTCCTGCTCCGTCTCTGATCCTCAGTGGGCACCGCCGGACCTCGACAGATAGAGTGCAAGATAGAATGCCAGATTTTTCTCCAGATAGAATGCCGGAGGTTTTGCCAAAAACAGACTTTATGTCAGATAGATTCAGATAGAATAATAGAATACTAGATTGTATGCTAGAAAGAATGCCAGAGTTCTTGCCAGATAGAGTGCTAGCATATATGCCTGCCAGAATATATGCCAGATAGAATGGCAGGATACATTTGCAAGATAGACACTTTCTTCGATGGCAGAACAAATGCCGGAATACATGTCAGAGTACGTTACCAGGACCGAAGTTGGGCCATATGTCACAGCACATGTTAGACCTCACGACAGGAAAAATGTCAGAACACATGCCAAACAGGGACACGGTCCAGAACATTTCCCAGCCTTGTTGATAGACGATCAATCCAGACTTAATGCCGTAGGAAGCGTCAGAACATTGCGTCAATCCGCACGTCCGCCGGTCAATACATGTGCCCTGCCTTCGGCCAAATCGCATCCCAGGGTGGGGATCGCTGGAAGTCAAATAATTGTTGTGCTAAGGGAACATGTTCTATGTTTTCATCCTTTAGCGTGTGCTCGCTGTTCTGCTCAAAGGAAAAAGTGTGACAGAGGGGGTCCTGGTTATGGCTTGCATCAACCCAAGGCATGCAGACACTTCATGTTTTTAAACAACTGATCTCAAAATGCTGGATGCCCTGAATTTTGGAATGCTTGGAATGTTTCCATCTTATTTGAAACGTTGGATCATGGGTTCACCATGAGACCGTGTTCTTCTCGCAGGACAAGGCCCAAGCTCTTCAAAGTTGGCTTCATGAGACAGCACCCGCGCGAAAGGAAGCCTTCGAGCAGGCCAAGGGTTTCTCGCATGACTCGGGTGGTGGAACTGGACGAATTGGAGAGAACACATCAAATCAAACTGCATCTATACCAGATCCACTACTTGCTCACAATGGGTGGCGCAACCACTTGACACATCCCCAACCCTTTGAGAGGGTATGTGGATCCTTCGGAAAAATTCTGAGTTCTGCTGAATTGTGGGGTAAGTCGCCAGGACAAATAAAATTGGATCCCTACCCTACCACAAATTTGACGACCACATACAATCGTTCTTTAGCAGCGATGGTGTTTCAGTTGGATTGAATGTTCTAGTTTCCTTTTATTTTATGTAGTTGTTTTTTTTGGTGGTTTCTCCTGGAAGAAGAGGGACTCCATCCAAACAACAATTGCAGGTGATTTCCCACCGTTGGATCCTTGATCTATGTGGAGATTACGCGGTTGGGAGTTCAAGGCTCAAAGGTAGCCTGCTACTCAAGATGTTGTCCTTGCGCCGATGTCTTCCTCCTGTACCAAACCTTGTGGCTTGGACGTGTTGGCTGAAGACTTGCATTTGTCAAGGCATTCCCTCATGTTTCCATGGCCGCTGTAGCTTCAAAACCATACCACCTTGCTTCGCCTATGCGCCACATTTCTTGCCGGATTTGTCGGAGGTTGGGCCCGAGGAAAGCACGGATCGTGTTCATTATTGGCTGCCGTTTCTGATGTGCGGGCCGATCTTCATGACTTTGCTCTGCGAGTTGGTCCGAAGAAGCTTCTTGAGGATGACCACGCGGAGTTGGGCTTGTTTGCCGCAGAGCAAATCAGGCGATGACGATGCTGGGGGCAAGATGCAAATGGGCAGACAACGTTTTCTGTTCGTTTTTTTGCTGTACCATATCTTTTGCGTGAGCCTTGTGACGGTTGCCTTGTGCAATGATTGGGCCACCACCAGCGGTGGAGGCAGCTTTTCGTGGGAGCTATGGGCTATTTGGCAGCACGTTTGCCTGTGGATGTTGTTCTTGCAGAATTTGCTCCGGTGCCTTAGGGAAGGCGAAGGTGCCCTGCATCGCAGCACCATTTGCAAAGTACTGCAGTACACGGCTCCTTTGGCCAGCGAGTTGGCAGATACCTTGAAGGATTGGATTGTGACGGGAATTTGTTTGTTGGCCGACCCCACTCTACTCGGCGTTGTATGTGGTGGTGTCATTGTTGCTGCAGACGTGCTGGCCCGATTGACTTGGGAGCCGCCGGACAGATTTCCCTTCAGAATTATGAATAATGTTCGGATTTTTCCGCCTTTGACGGTTTTGCCGCTGGGGTTTATGTTTGCTTATTGCTTTGGTGCTGTGTCATTTCTGATGATCCCCAGCCAGTGGATAGAATCGGTTGCAAGAGTTCCTCTATTTTACACACTTTGCTTTGGCCTGTTGCTTCTCATAGTCGAAATTCATCCTGTTCTGATGGTCAGTGCATTGTGGTCGCAAGTTTTATTAATCATTTGTTTGAAGCAGGGTGACTCCTTTGGATTTGGCTCGCTCTTTGCAGCCATGTTCAACATCATTTCAGATGGTGGTTGCCTTTGCGTGCTTTCCATCTACGTGATCCTCCTTTCACACATTCTGGTAGTTTCCAATCCAGACACCTTCTTGGAGATTCGAAAAACCTACCGCGGCATTTTGTCATTGCCCAAAGCGGCTCCCTTGACCCTGAGCGGTCTTTCTTTGTATGACCGAGCGTCCGACATGGCTTCTGCCCTTGCCACAGACTTTTGCAGCACTGCTCGATTGATGATCGCCTGGGCGGAGGATCTGCCACAAGGGTTCATAGGGCTTTTGCTGGTTTTATCACAAACGCAGGAAAATGGAAGAGTTGGGTTGGCGGGGCTCTCTGCCCTAATCAGTTTCGTGAAAGGTATTGGGATACCCATCGGACAAGGCATGCTGTTGGCCAGCAAAGAGAGAAAAGTGGAGGAAGGGTTGAAGCAGATGGACCTGTTTCAGTTTGTGGATAAGAATTTTGACGGACAAGAGTTGCTATCGACAGTTTCTATTGAGAAAGAGCTTCACAGTGTCATGCAATCTCTAGAAGAAAGGGTAGCGGTTTTGCAGGAGGCCTTGAATAATGCAGACAGAGAGATAGAAGTGGCGCACGGAGATGCTAAACAACGTCTACGTCTTCGTGACGAACGGAGTACTACTCAAGAGCTCCTACAAGGAGTTCAGTCACACCTTCACAGCGAACGGGACAAGCATGTGACTACACTGGCCCAGTTCAGGGAACGCTTTCGTGCAGATTTCAAAGGTGCCATTGAAGCGAGGAATGAGGCGATGTGTCAGAGGTTCAGCATCAACAAAGAAGTCCGTTTGTACGATTCCATCTTAACAAGAATGGAAGCCTGGCCCAGCAACTCTGATGTGACCCATGGCTTTGTGATGGACATTGAGGAACTGCTGCGCCAACCTGGAGTCTCGCAGCGGCCTTGACGCAGCAGCGATCAACAACAAGTGGAAAATGAACACGGACTGTCGAGTCACATCTAAAAGAACTTGCTGAGTTGTTGGGCCCCCTTTATAATCCTTTATCAAAATGAGCCCATTCCAAAACAGGAGAACATTTTGAGAGGATCGCCATGGGCCTCAACCTAAATTTGGAAAACAGTTGGTGAACTCAAAGGGAATCTTGCATCTGAAATCATGTGGGTTTATGGCCCCTACAGTCAAATCCTTGCTTCGTTTGCAGTTGCGACTTCTCTTGGGGTACTTCGGTGGCATCATGTTTGGACAAACAAAGTGCCCTCCCAGATTCCAACGTAGACCCTGGTGTACCCTTAGAATCAACAATGTAGACTGTAGACTCAATTTATTGGAGATGTCAATACAAGCGGGTACCCAGTGAACATCAGTGAACCATTGAACACTAATCAGATCTTTTGATTTAATTGATTGATGGAAGCTGGGAGATATATTGTTGTTCAATGTCGATCTCTCCCAGCCTGAACCATCCGCGCTTCTTGAGCTTCCCTCGAATCTTGAGAGGCACAGACGCAGTTGTCTTCGTGCGACACCGAGTCCAGCTACTACAGTATTTGAGGACGTGGTTCAAAATAGGGCACAGACTTGAGCTTACTCCCCGCCAAATATTCAAAATATTGCAAAATCACAAGTCCAACATCTAAACATAATTTGGAGGATCCAGGTATTTCTTTGGTTTCTTTTCATGTTCCAAGTGCCTGCATCATGTCTTTCCGAACGTCCAGTTCTTTGCACAATGTCGGATATTTTTTGTTGTTGCTGCTACGACCCCTAAATGGAAGGTGTAGTGGGAATTACCACCATGAAGGGCACCTTGTAGAGTATTTGGCCATATGTTTATATATAATATATATATATCTATTATATATGTTCAATTCGGTGACCGCCCTTGTCCGTTGTCTTAGAAGATGGAATTGGTAGCTACAATGTGCCTGCAAGACTGGCTTGGCACAAGATCACTGTTGGAACAGTTCCAACGGGATTGCTTCCAGGTTGCTCGTTCTTTGCCCACTTGGGGTCTATTTCAGACCAGGTGAGTAGGTGAGTGAAGAAGGGACCGTGTTTGCTCACTTGAACTGAAATCCTGCATCGCCAAGAATGAAGAACAATACTATGATATGGCACTGGTTCTCAGACGACTAGCTCTTTTTGATACAAAAATAAACAGCAGAAATGGCAAAAGACCAGAAATGGGTGTCCGGTCTATACTTCAGTATTCTATTATGGTACTCTTCTAGGTTCAGAACCGGCTGTCCGTCACGTTTTGGTGCTGAGGTTTTGGCAGTCCGTCCGCACCAAGGGCCAGCAGTGGCGACCTCAGATGCCCAAGACGCCTTTCGCAGTTGATAAGCATGTGCCGGGTTGTCCCTCTTCGGGTGGCATTGGATTCTGATATTTGAGTGACCCCTCTTCAAGCACCCCCAATGTAGGTCTGTATGACAGTCCCATCGGTCGTGTTGGCGATATGGATCTTCCTGTTGGGTGCCCGCCGTGACTGGCCTGGGCGGAACGGTTGCCTCCGAAGGGTGCCTCCGTCTGCGTGTCGGATCGTCGGATCCCCTTGGGAAACCAACGCCACCCAGAACCATTGCTCCACAGTGCCCTAGTCTGTACCTCTTTTTAGTGGGATCAATTCAGAATTCATGGTCGTGTTTGCGTGAATCTACACCAACCCATATGTTTTCTGTTCAACTAGGAACTAAGAAGCTACTAGCAGCAAAGGGCATCACTAGTAGTAGCTCCTCTCTCCTAGTAACAAGGCATCGCTACTAACAAGAGAGTAACAAGAAGCTACAAGATGTCACCGGAACCTGGTCATGTCCGACCGGAACCTGCAGGTTCGCCGCCGAGGCCGCCGGCTCCGAGACGGCGGGCCAGCTCAGAGACGTAACGGCTCGCCCTCTGTGCCTGTAAGTTGTAGTCTAGAAGCGGGAGAGTATCTTTGTGGCTTCGGTTTCTCTAGCCAGTTCTGGTGTCCAGATGGTGGTTTGAGGGCTGTGAACAGCTGGATTTATCATTGGGATTCGCACAGGGCGTATGGCCATGACTCAAACATTTCCAGGATGGCTGAGACCAGTCTAGTAGAGAAAGTGTAGCGTACTCTAGCAGTCTAGCTGGTGACAATGTGTTTGCTGGTCCACTGCCTTTCTTGGGGCTCTGGGCTTTACCCGATGCATGTTTGCAGTTGGTTAGAGAGAGAGAGAGCAGAGAGGTACCAATTTGGCGAATCGTAAATGATGTGAATGTGTGTGTGTGAGTGGATTGTTTCTCCAATCTAGAAGCCTCACCTTTCCGAAGAAACCTGTCCTTGAAACCACAACTACCCGGACTGACGAACACGTCGCATGCAAGTGGATTGTTTCCCAAATGGCCTTGAAGGGAAGACCATTTGCAACCCACTTCCAACCGCCTTTCAGAGTGTACCGAAGTGGACGGCCTTCCGATCTTCTGGTTGGTCTCGGAGATGTCAAACGCTCCGACCAGCGCTGTCCGACCAAGCGCCCACAAAGGCGAACACTGCAGCTGCCAGGTGGGAAATCCATCGGTGGCAGACATTTGCAGTGCTCCAGCTGGAAGGTATGTGAACATTCCAACCTGAGGTGAGTTTACAGCACATCTATATAATATAGTGTTATATATAAGTGTTCTCCAACAGTTCCAACATGTTCCAACCCTCATGTTTTTGAGTTCTCTGAGCTGCCCCGAAAGAAGAACAACGCTGGGTACAGAATACATGCAAAGTACACAGTTAGCTAGTCGATATCGATGCGTTGACCTTGAAGAGGTGGGTCA